GCAGATAATGATGCTGTTGGTGATGATGATGATGATGATGATGATGATGATGGTGATGATGATGATGATGATGATGATGACGCTGCTGCTGCTGATGATGGTGGTGGTGGTGATGATGATGCTGATGCTGATGCTGATGCTGATGCTGATGATGAATGATGATGATGATGATGATGATGATGATGATGATGATGATGATGATGATGATGATGATGATGATGATGATGATGATGATGATGATGAATGCTGATGACGGTGATGATGCTGGCGATGATGATGTAGCAGCAGTGTGAAACGGAGCGCAGCAGAGTGTCACAGAGCGTGCAATGCTATGTTTTCCCGCCTGGCCGTAACTATTACGGCTCAAACTGTCTTTCTTGTGGCGGCGAATGGGAGATTTCGGTTGGAGCATTCCCCCCAAAGCTCCAGCCGCCGAGGGCGCCTGGGCCAGCGATTTGCGGGTCTCGCCGTGTGCGCTGGCGATCTCGACCACTGCCAACGCCTGCCTCTCGCAGACCGACGTCTGGGGGGCGCCCGTCCCGCTCGGCGCCGCGGTCTTCGCGGTGGGCGTGAGCTTCTTGCTGGGGATCCTGGCTCTCCATGCGGTGCAGGCGACCATCTGCACGTGCCTGGTGTCCGTGCGCGTGATCCTGTGGGGGTTCACCAATTCGGAGGTGAGGCCGCAAACCGAGCAGCGCGCCGAGCGTCCGGCTGCTCTTCACATCGGCTACAATGGCGGTCAAGCGGTTCGTGCGCAGGGCGCTCAAGCTCAAGCCGGGGGACGGGATGTTCTTCGACTACGGCGAGGCGGGGGAACATTGGCATGAGAGGCTGATTCTTGCGGCCCTGGGAGGGGTTCGGTACATACTATTGACGCCCGACGAGGGTATGTACGAGGAGGAGATCGACATCCCGCGTGTGGTGGACTTCGAGCAGGCTGGGCCCAGGGGCGGCTTGCCAGCGGGCCTTGGAGCAGCGAAGGGCCATCCGGTGTACCGCTTCACGGAGAAGCCGAAGGGCACGGCGCTCCAGGCCTGGTTCGACGCGGCGGAGGCCCAGGCCGCGGAGCTCCGCGACGAGCGGGGGCTGACCCGGGCGGGCGACGAGCCGGAACCTGCGGGCGAGCCGGCGCCGCCCTTGCCCGACCGCGCCGCGCCTCCTGGCGGCGAGCGCGATGATTGGTGCTGTGTGGTCGCCGAGTGCGACGCGAAGCTGGGCAAGGTCTACTCGTTGCCCGACTCGTTGGAGACGCCCTCCGAGGATTTCGCGGCGCTCGGCAGGTACGGGCTCTACGACCTGGGCCGGCGCGGCAGCTCGGCGGTCATGGTCAGGCTGGCGCCGGGCGAGACCGCGAGCGAGGCGCAGCGGGCTTTCGCGGCGGAGCAGGCGCCCGCCGCGCTTGTGGGGGGGGCCCTCACTCCGCCCGCGCCGCCGGAGGATGCGCGCGCGCTGGCGATCAGGCGCGACGCGGCCGGCCGCCGGTTTCGCGACTTTAAGAGCGTGGCGGAGGCGGCCGATAATATTGAGTTCGAGGATTGGGTGTTGTCCGGGCCCCGCGCCGCGCTGCACGTGGTCACGGAGATTGCCAAGCAGAGCGGGGGCCCGGTCCAGCGCCGCGCGACTTGGAAGCATGAGAACAAGCCGAACGACGAGGAGCACAGCGTGGTCGCCAACGAGATGCTTTCGGACATTTTAGAGCTGGCCTGCACTTACGACCAGATGGACGTGTCGAGCCTTGCGAGCATGGGGGCGCTGGCGAGGCACATGCAGTTCATTGAGCACAAGATTGAGAAGGAGAAGGAGACGGTCAAGGATTTCGATCCCCGGGACTACTACCTCGGGCGCACGAGGAGGACGGGCGGCGCCATCGTGAGTCCCGAGTTGCTGAAGTGGGTGGCGGAGTCTGCTGCGAGGGACTTGGACATCTTGGAGGAGGAGCGCAAGGCGGCGGAGGAGCGGGCCCTGGCGCGCGCTCCTCCGAAGAAGTCATGATGGACTTCGAGGCTGGGGAGTGGCCGACCCCAGCCGGCGCCGACAGGCCCCTGGAGCGCATAGTGCCGAGGGCTCTTCTGCCCTTGCCCACGGCGCCCGTGTGCCCAGCGCGGGGCGCGCGGTCCTGGCCGCGACCGCTCCGCCCAGAGGATAGGCCGCAGGTCTGCGGTTGGCCGCCGCGTGAACGACTGCATCGCCGCCCTGAACAACCTGCGCGGGGAGGGCGACTTTTGCTCGAGGGCCCGGCCTTCGGAGGCACAGTTTTCCGCTGTTGACATGCTCTGGCAGGTCGTGTCTGAGGACAAACCGCCGGGCGACGCCGCCAGCCCCGAGGCAGCCCTTGTGGAGTTGCTCGGCTCGGGCAGTTTGGGCTATGGCCCCGACGGCCCCGCCGTGGTTGCGCCGTATGATCGCGGCCTGGTTTCGCGGCCTGAGTCGGCGGGCCGCGTGGGCTTGGAGCCGGACCGCCAGGGGGTGATTGACGGTGAGAATTCGCTGATGCTTCGCG